TCATACACTATCATTAGGGACATCGAAATTTAGCAAAATTTTCTATTTGAAATTAGATATCAACTCTAGATGTTAACGGATTTTCAAGATACAGGGATTTAAATAATTTTTTGCAGAATTTCTATACTTGGCCAAGTTTCTTTGCCAATTCCAAATCAAAATCTTAGCCTGCTTTGATATCATAAACGATGGTATATTTTAATGTACTGATTACGTGATATCCATTTTGCAAAAGTCATAAAACAAGCCATGTCATATAATTCAAGTTGCTTTGACGCCATCAACAGATGACATGGTTTTGTAGATGAACAAAAAAAAGTTCATAGTGCTTGTGTGTGCTTTGTCATTTGGTTTGTATTGCATACAACTATTCTCTCTAAAACAGATGCTTTCATAGTTAAGTAAAAAATTGTAAGCAAAATGCATTCATTTTTGCAAAGTAAGTGCTTCATTTGTCCTAGCCCGCAAAATGGATGTCTCACGATTTGTATATTCTGTACGTATAAATAAAATGAAAACTTTGCATGAAGTTTTATTATGTTGTATGTGCAATATATATGTATGTACATACTTATGAAACGAACGAAATAAAATAGATTTTTTAAAACAGATTTTGGCTTTCATGAAGGAGGAAAAAATATTTTTTTTTTTTAAATCTATCCCGAAAAAAGTAGGAAATTTTTTTTATGTTTCTAATCGTTTTGCTATTTTCGCTTTTGTTTGTGGTTTTTTTTTTGCCTTATTTATTTAAATGTGAAACTTTAAGAAAGAGACATTAATAAAATTCAGTTTTTTAAATGAACATTATTTCTGAACTAGTCATCTTTTTCCTTCGTTTATTTGTTATTGTTTTGGTTTGTTTTATTTATGAAAAATAAGTCTCTTCTTAATACTAAAAAAAAAAATTTTCATATAGAAGCTAGCTTTCATTTTATACGCTTATACAATATGACAAGTGCATATATACAAACGTATGTATACAAAAAAAAAATATTTAATAAAATTTATTCAAAAAACTTAAAAAACAAAAACAAGAGAGAAGAAAAACCTTTTGCATCTCCATTTTACATGCGTGTTCTATATTCCCACTTTAAGTATCCTAATGAAGCATAATAAAAATAAAAATAAGTCTCATTAGTCATAACGAATGTTTTTTGATTTTATTATTATTATTATTATTTTTGAATAACATATAAGGATACATTCTTTTTCTTTTTTTTTTTATATAATAATGTTTTGCTTGCATATTATATTTTGATATCATCACAGTATAATGTATGTAAGCATATACCATCATAAATATGGTGTGTAAATGTTCGTTTTATTTTTTATTTTGCTTTTTAACTGAAGCAACTCTCTGTTTTACTGTCTGTATTTCATTTACTTCCTGAATGAGAGAAAAAAATCAAAAAAAAAAAAAAGAAAAATTCAAAAAACAGAAAAAAAGAAAGTTATTGCACTTAGTTTTAATGATAATAGGAATGATTTCAACTTCAATGGCTTTTCCGCACAAGAACACAACAACTAACTATCAAATAATATAACAAACCAGGCTGAACAAGTTAAAAAATAGGAAAAATAGAGAAGAAAAAACTCTCCAGGAAGGATTCTGGTAGGTACTTTTGTTGTTATTGTTATTGTTGCTGTTGTTAAACTAAAGAATTTTTGAATTTTTTAATATGACAAAACCAAGTGCTCTGTTTTTACAAAAAAACATTATTTTTGTTTCTCAACTCCCTTCCCTCCTCTCTCCATTTCTTTCTATTTATTTATGTATTTTCCTCTTTCTTTTTTTTTTACTTAACATATAATATCTCTTTTTATTTTTTTTTATTTATCACTCACAGGTTTCCAAATATTCTTCAAAAATAAAAATAGTTAGAATAAAAGAATAGAAAAAAAAATAACTCTAATTCTATAGTTTGAGTTTTTTAAGTTTTTTTTTTGCATTGTAGTAGATTTATTTTTCAACATAGAACGAACGAACTACACCTATACCTTATATTGCTACCACACAATAAAAATGTATGTAGTATAACATTAATTTTAAAATGTAGATATATGCATACATAAATATACATATTTTAAGTTCCTTATATTATTTTGTAACATGCATTAAATGTATGTATAAATTATACATATTAAAATATTTTTATATTTGCAATACAAGTGAATGTACATCCATACAAATATATTAACGTGCATAATATTTTGAAATTTTCTGATTTTACAAAATAATATATGTTTTATACATTAAACATACAAACATATATAAAAAAAATTTTCTAATACATATGATTCAATATATTAGATATATAAACATATACCTTATATGTGCAATAATTATACATGTATAATTATATATGTATATACACGCTCCATATTCTACATAATATTCTAAATCTCCCCCATTGTCACAGCGATTTGCAGTAAATATGAAAAATATATTCTTCTCGAGAGATTTCAGAAAAAAAATTTTGTTTTTATTTTTCTGTTTTTTTTGTTCTGTAACCAAAAACATGCATTTTATACATACATACATTTATTTACATATTTATGTATAATCGTACAATGGGCAAAAGAATTTCTTTGTTATACAGTAAGGATATATGTGAGTAGATGAAACACTATATATGAATTTTTAACAAATATTTTTATTATATACAATAAATATGTATGTATAGTATGTATGCATGAATGCATGTATCATATATAGGTATGTGACTTAACTATAATAATTTTTTTTTTTTAATGATGTGTGCGATGAAAGTATGGTTTTAAAGTTTTAATTTAAAAAAAAAAAATTATTTTTTTTTTTTTTTTGAAAAGCATATGCTACATAGCAGAGAGATTATGACCTAAAGCCATAATGTATGTTAGTCCTTGGTTTTTAATTTATTTTTTTGAAAATTCTCCAAAATATAATAATAATATAATAAAAATTGCAACTCCTGTTAATTTTCAAGGATCTAATATAAAATATAAGATTATCAAATTAAAAGCTTAAAAATTTTTAAAATTAATCGCAAATTCCTATAGTGCACATACTATACATGTATAATATCACAAAAATATACTATATATATATATAATATAAGATAAGCACTATGTAACTAGTATGATATATGGTGTTTAAAATTCAAACTATTACAAAATATTCCGATAATTTTTCTATATAATATTGCATATATTGATTTTTTTGTCGGAAGATGATACCGTAAATTGTTTTCCTTTTGTTTCTTAATTATACAACTGTACAAATATTTTAGTACATTTTGAAACAATAATTAAAAATTTGTCAAATTTGACATTTTTAAAATAAAAATGTTCTAATTAATTAAGGCATATACTTAATTAAAATAGAGAATTCTACTATACATATACATATAGAAACTTTATTAATTTCTATATTATATTACAAGGATAAGAAAACGCACATAAATTATATACATATATATATATATATATATATATGAAAGCATGTATCTATGTAAAATCATTAAATCCTAAACAATGATAATATCTATATCATGTACCTGTACATTATATATTATAATAATAAATAATATTAAAGTCTAAGATTAAAATAGAAAATTTAGAAACTTAAAAACAAAAAAAAAATATAGATTTTTATTAAGACATTTTATTGATATTTACGTAGATATCTTATGTGTACAGCATATTAAAAAAAAAGAGCTTTTTTTCATGGTTTACCTTTATTGTATAAACCGGTTTGGATGAATTTTTTTTTAACATATTCATATCATGCTTTACTAGCGTTTCCATTCCATATTATCAGATGTTTTTTTTTAAACTTTGCCAATAGTGTTGTATGATTAGGTTTTGCAAAAATATAAAAATCATTTTATTTTTTTCTGTTACTTAATTTTGTATTTTCTTTTCAATAATACGGCAATTATTATTTAGCTTAAGGCCAATAGAATTCCAACTATACTATTACATTTTATGTATTTCCGATGATATACTATTAAAATATTTTCTTATTAATTTCCTATTTAAACAATATTTTACTAATATAAAAATTTTACTAATTATAAATATTTTGCTTAGTTTTCTGGAACCAAGATTCATTTAACTTTTTAACCTAAATTAAATTGTAGTGTATGATTATTATGTATTGATTTTAAAAAACTAAAATTTTAATAATATGCTTGAAATTTTATATTGCACTATAAGAATGTGAACTTTATTAATATTAAAAATATATATATATATATACAAGTATATCAAAAATAAAACATTTTTATTAAAGCTTCCTTTCAAAAAAAAAAAAGTAAAATAAAATGTTTTTGCGAAAAAATTCACAAAACTAAAATATACTAACCCAATTAATAAAAAAAAAAATCGAAAAAACAAAGAAAAACCGTACCTACAAGAATTTTTCAAAAAAGGATAGTGTTATAAAACTTCTGATAGTGCTTTCACTATATATTCTTTTTATACTATATATAGTAGAAGGGTGGATATTATATTTCTGTATAATTTTTTTTTATTCAATATTTTCTACGTGTAGCCTCTACTATACTATTCTCATTATATGATTTAAAGCTTGAGAATATTTTTTTTTTCCGTCAAAAATTATTTATAGAATAATATCATAATATAGAGTACGTACTTGAATAAAAATTATATTTATATGAAATAAAAAAAATTACCAAGTAATATTTTCATAAAGCAAGGCTATTTCATATAAAATATTATTCGACTATCTTGTTGTTTACCTATTATACTAGACTATTATTTACATTATTAGAAATTCATAAAAAAGATATTTGAAATTTTTAGAGAAACTATACATAGTACCTACATAATATTCCAAGAATTTGGCGATAATAATTGCAATGATTTTAATTTTCCAAAAATTAATTCAATTGAAAGAAATGATTTAATTTTTTCTAGTTTAATGTTGACAAAAATTAGGACAAGAACATCATAGGTTGAACTTAATATGCACAAAAAAAAAAAATAATATTACTTACCGTTATAATATGCACAATGCACAAAATGATTGACCTAGTATCCTCAAACAAAAAAAAAGCAGCAATTTTTTTGTAATGCTCTCCAAACGTAAAAAGTATTTTTCAATTGTTATAGGAAATCGTGATAGTTTATCTCTCTATCTCTATTTTATTAATAGTTTTGACATTAAAACTTTATAATAATTATTATTATGTAGGTAGGTACCTTATGATACAAACTGATTTATATTTAATAATCACTTAATAAATTCTAAATTTTCTATTTTTTCTTACTTTTTTATTACAATATTATTTGAGTGTACTATTAGTATTCTTATATTCCTTTTTATTTTGGGATTTACACCAATAATTATTAACTTAGATATTGTTATATTCTATAAAAAAAAAAATTGACACTAAAATTCTTTTTCTTGTGTCATAATGTTATTTTTACAATAATCATAAACTCACAATGACTAATCATCAGTTTTTTAATACGTAATTTATAGACAATATTGTAACATTAAATTACCGTGAACTATAAAAAAATATAAACTTCCTAGCAAAGTCGCCAAAAACATACTAAATAAATTTTAAATAACAGCTTCGTATAGTTCGACTTGCTTTGGATTTTTTTTTTGCTTTGTTAGTATCGAATTGATTTCATTTGCATGTGATTTTTGTGTGTGTAAAAAAAAGCTTTTCACTATACTTTAATTTATTTCTTTCAATATTAAAATATTGTAGATATTGTAAGGTATAATCAGCATAATATTATAAAATATTATATTATACGAGAAAAATAATAACTGTGCTTCTGCCTTCTCAGCAAAAAGCACTTTCATACTCTCTATAAAATAATTTTTTAGTGTTATACAAGTATATTTTTAATTTGGCCTTAGTTATGATTTTCATATCATATAAATTTCTCTGTTTTAAGAAGCTTCCTATAAAAGCTACTATATGATTTTAATATTTTCTCTAAAAAATTATATTATATATTTTTATTAAAATATTATGCATTAATATTCTACATTGTAGAGAAATTTAATTTTTTCTTTTTTGTTATTCATATCATAATGTAATTTACATAATTTAAACGTGTTTCTAGCATAAATTAGAAGATTTTGTTCTAATTGAATAATAACTTCATATTAAATGTTTGCCTTACAATATATGGATATACATAACTTCAATATGTATAAGCATTCTCCACCCAAAATCAAAAGCAATATTTACAGATGTAGTAAAATTAAATAAAAGCTGTATTATGAACTGTTTATATACATCTGAGTATATAAAATTATATTGTACAATAAAACTTTTCGAAACGCTGTTCGATCTCGAAAAATTTATCAAAAACAAAACCCAGTGTAGGACTGAAATTGTGCCTCTTTTAGGTAAAGTCTCTCTGTTGATAAAAGTAGGTCGATACATAAATATACAATTGTAAGTCTAACGGTTTCACATTCACAATTCAAATTGGTCCTAATATGTGTTGGAGATTTGCCATGCTTTCAAAATGTTATCAAAGACTTGCCTTATTTTGCGAGTTTAAGAATATAAGAATTTTCGGATGGTTCAAACATTTTTTAAAGAGTTTTTTTTTCGTTTGCCAAATTTGATTCCGATGATTTATTCAAAACTTGTGCTTTACTATTATTTATGCTAAATAATAAATTAATTCTTCAAATGAAACCTTTGTTGAGATTATTTCTTTTGTTATTGTAGTAGGATGAGCATTTTATTAGCTGACAAATTTATGAAAATTATATCTTTTTCGGCTTTCGGAATGGCTTCTTTACTTTGAAATCCATTAATAAAGTTGATTTGTAATGACAATTATAGAAGGTGGTTAAATTTGCATGTGTTATATGAGTATGTTTTACTTAAAGTTCTTTTCCTAATTCATTAGTTGAGAAATTCTAATCTATGCCATTTCTTTGTCAAATAGTCTTTTTATACGTTACCTACTTTAAAGATTATAAATTTTTTCTACAATCGTTTTTTTTTTCAAAATTACATAAATAAATAAATGTATTTAAGTGGTTTGGTACGTGCGTAAATATCATTATTTTACGTTACTTACATAATTTTGGTTTCCGGGTGTAGGTCTAGATAACCTAGGTGTTCCTGGATAAGCAGTGCAAGTTTCAAATTTCTGATTTATATAGAAAAATTATTTTTTTTTCAGAACCAAGTTTCATTATTATTTTTTTTAAAAGATGTTGCACATATGTATAAATTTATAAATATTATAATTGGACTAATAAATTTTACACTAAAATTCTTAAATTATCACAATAATAAAAGCGGTACAAAGAGTAAACACGAACAAGTTGTCGATTTTAAAATTTATGAGACAAGTTGTCATCGATTGTTTACAGTTTTGACAGATCATATTCTACATGCGTGCCAGCACCATACTGTATAACTGTATAAAGTTTTTAACGTTACATTTAGTAACGTTGGTAGTTTCGTCCTTCGTTTCACTGCAAACTCCAAATTTGAAGTTTAATAAAGAATTTCCTAAATGACTGCGACATCTACCCATTTAAATAAACATTTCAATAACAATACAGAAATAGCTGCGCGTCAGCCACATCTGTAGTTATTATCATCGTTTTTGACGTTTTATAAAAATGTTAATATCATATTTTTACAGCGTTAAAGTTAAACCGAAATAAACACGGTATGCAACATGAGTTCGTTCAAAATATTTGGTTAAGTGAGCGTAATATTAGTTTTATTGATATATGTAGCTATATATAACATATGTATATAAATATTATTAGGTAATATTTATACCATCGATATCGTCGATAAAACCGAAAGGTGTAAAACCTTCAATATACATATGTTTCTTCTAAATGTATCAAATTAAAATGAAATGACAGTTTTTGTTGTCAATATAATAGTAGATACCACGGTTGACAGCAACACGCAGGTATTTTTGTTATGTCAAGTTACATACAAATATAACCAGGAAGTGAAAAAGTATGGCATGCGCGGCAGCCTTGCAATTTATTGCTAACAAACTTGTTTTTTCTAATGGCAGACTAGAGCGTAAATAAACTTCAAATTACTAACTTAGTTTTTTTTATAATTTTAAGTTTTTTTATTTATCATTAAAATAAAAATATATCTTATTTATTTTTCTTCAAATTAAATTCATTTAAAATTATTACATTCGCAAGTAAGTGCTGTTGTTTTCACCAATTAGAAACTATTCCACTAAAAACAGTATAAACTATTACACAGAGGGAATGAAATCAATTGTTCATTCAATATAGGGTTATGACAATAAACAATGCTCGTGCAGCTGCATATTTACGTGTTTGACATTGATGTTTCATATTTTTCACTACAATACGAGGCGACAACGCAACATTTGGGTCTCATTCCAAATGTAACTTCTAAGTTAAAGTTATTGAGGTGTTTAACAATGCAAGTTAACTAGTTAAGAAAATAAAATCAAGTAAGACTAATTGTAATTAAAGTAGTAATTTTAAAAGTTACTATTGGGACAATTAAACACTTTTGGTGAGTTTCTACTTCTTACACTTTCGGTAGAATACTGTTTTTTATCTAATGTTACAAACTCTTACTATTATCTGTATATATAAATTCATTTAAGTTATTATATACTAAAAATTCTTCCACATTTTTATAAGTTGCTGATAAACTAACTATGCGTGATTTTGACAAACATTAAAGTTGAAAGCAATGTCTGAAGGAGATGATAATGAGAATACAATAACATTACGCCACAGGAAAGAAAAAAAAGAGCTGCAATCTAAAATTCAAAGTTTGAAAAAGTAATACATACAATTGTGAATCAAATGTTTATAATAAAAAATGTAATTTTCGTTAAGGAATGTAAGACTATTATATCTATTTTTGCTTTTAGGAGTGCCTCTAAGGGTGACAAAAAGAAACGGAAAGAAATTTTAGATGAAATCGCAAAGATAGAATCTGACTTAGCCAAGCGTCATTCGGATGAACTAAATACTGTTAATAATGCCAAAAATAACCAACTTTCGAATAATGGAGAGCTTTTTGACAACACTACTAATGAACAAAATTGCAGCAATGATATAAACGAATTGGAAAATAATGATTCCAATCAAGAAACTCGAATTTCGAAAGCGCAAAGGCGTCGAGATAAAAAAGCTCAAAGGGAAAAGGCAAAGGAAGCAGAACTTGCTGCACAAGAAGGACAGTATAAAAATGGTCCACGAACAACAGAAATGCGAGCACTCAAAGATATTTTAAAAAAACGTGGTTTAAGATTATATTCTATTCCCTCCGATGGAGATTGCTTATACAATGCCATTTGTCATCAGATGAGTTTGGCTGGACTTGAAGTTGGCCCGTGGGAATGTAGCGGTGATTTAGGCATTCATCAAAAAGATCAAATTAAATACCTCAGGAACGAAACTGCCAATTATATAGAAAAACATAAAGAAACTTTAATATTTTATATGACTAGTCAAGGCACTGGAGATTTAATGACTGATGAAGAGTTTCAGATTTATTGCAATCAAATTCGTGATGCGCCTACTTGGGGTGGACAAATTGAAATTCGTGCAATTTCTAATGTTTTGAAAGTTAGAATTGAAGTTTTACAAGCTACAGGACCGCCAACAATTCAAGAGTGTGATGAAGGTACTAAAGACATTGGACCAACCTTAGTTATCACTTATCACAGGCACATGTACAGCTTAGGTGAACATTATAATTCAACAATTCCTTTGGAAATTGACGAAGAACAGGAAGAGTATTTGGATAATGATGTTCCGTAAAAAAATAGATTCAAAAAATATGAAACCTATAGAGGATCTTAAACCTATAGTGTTCTAAATTTAATATTAAAGGGTTTAATATATGTAAATATATACAAATGATGGATTAATATTTTTATTTTATATATTACATATTTAAAAAGGTATATGCATAATTTTATATTACGCAAGTATTCTAAATAATTCTGTACATATTAGAACCCATGCTAAAAGTATTAAAGTTGTTTCATCGTTAAATTCCTAATTTCAAGTTGTTATTTTGCAATTGTAAAAAACTACAACGTGCTAAGAGCTAGCATATTAAGATTTTAGATTTAGCGTATTGTAGCATAGTTTTTAAAACTTAAAAACTAATCACGCATATATGATTGCTTTTTTCTCAATGAATCCTTAACCGGATCTTTCTGCACTTGTGAGAAACTACGCACATATTTATGTGTATATTCATGCTTATAAATGTAGACCGAAAAAACAGACAATACCTCATTAAAATTTTTGAATAAATATCCCATTTGAAATTTCTGTTTGATTTAAATTTACGAATTTTAATATAAAATCTTTTCTTGATTGGATTCTTATTTAAGAAAAAGAAAAATGCAAATTAAATTGTATTTTAAAAACTAGGATCTTTAATTACTGAAAACTTAATATTAATGATTTTACACTTTCGTCAAAGGCGACATCCAAGGAAGTCTGTCCAGCGTCATCTGACAGTTCTTTATTTGCACCATGTTTTAACAAAAATTCCACACATTTATTATGTCCGCAACTAGACGCATAGTGAAGCGCAGTTTGTTGTTCAGTATCCCTTAAATTTATATTTGCGGAACAATGTTCTATAATATATTCTAATATATCAAGAGAATTTCTATCGGCTGCCCAATGAATGATTCCGATTCCTGTTTCGTCTAATTGATTTACATTGTCTGCGTTAACAAAGATCTTTACTTTTTCAAGATTTTCTTCTTTAACGTAATCAAAAATAGTTTTACAGCTATCGGTTTTAGTGTCTTGGGTTTCTATTAACGGTACTGAATGGCAAACCCATTGTGTTTTTGTTTTATTTCCACTCGAATTAGAAATTTCTTCAAGATCTGCACCTAATTTTTCTACAATTTCAATGTATTTTTGCATGCATTCTTCTTTTGATGTAAATTGAAGTTTATTCCAAGCTTCCCATTTCGCTTTAGCTTGAAAATTAAAAATACTTGGCTTCGGCGAATCACATTTTCCGCTTGTAACCTGTTTGTATAATCCATATAATTGTAAAAGAATGTCTTGTTCAAGATTTGAATGTTGCTTTTGAATAAAATCAGCTGCTTTATTAAATTTTGTGTGTAATACTTCAGAACTGCCAGATTCATCCTCATCTTCACTTAGAGAAATATCAGACATTTTGGATTTGTTAGTATCCTTCGACGAACTAAAAGTTTTATTCTGTTTTTTGAATATTCAGATTATTACCCTCAAGAAGGTGAACTGTTTTATTATCTAAATTGTCTAAAGCACTTTTATTTAAAAATGTTACAAAACCATAACCTTTAGAATGACCACTTCTTTTATCAAAAACTACATTAGCATTTAATACCTTCCCAAACTGCTTGAAATAAGACACTAATTCACGATGCCCAACTGTCCACGGCAAGTTTCCAATAAATATTTTAGTTATTCCACGCGATGCCATTCCTAATAAAAATCTAATTTTAATGATAAATATGGAAAAACAGCTTTTTTAACAAACTTATTATTATATATTATTCTTACTCTTCTGCTCTAGAATAGCAAAGCAGTTTGCATGAGGTCGTATGACATTTCTAAATTTTTATTAATTTCATTGAATTTTTAATCAGGGTTGCCATTAGTTATTAAAACTAACTTCTTATAACTGTGAACATGTAGCGTTTTTTCTGCTCATTTCGAAGAAAGTACAAAAAGTGAAATTTTAGATTGCATTATAGAAAAGCAAATTGATATGTAGGTAACCATTTATGTATTTAAATATTTTGAAAATGTAATTTTACTTTAAGATGGCAAAGAAAGATGGTCAAAATTTATGCATATGAAAGCATTAACAGTAGAAAATAAAAATTAATATGTAAATTTTTTTAAATTGAAAAAGTGAGTCGTAATTTTTTCACTCATTTTTTGTCTTCCTTCTGAGTACAAATCAGTTTGGACAAAGATACAAATGCTTACACAAATTTTCGAAAGTGTAAATTTTCTCTAAACAATCCTAAATAATTTTAAAAAAAGTCTTTTTAACAGAATTATGGTAATTCGTTTTTATTATTAATATGGAGAATTGTAATAATTAATAAGTAAAGTTATATGTAAGTTGAAAAACCGGTTAAAATTGAAAAATTACTATTGTAGGTACACAAGTAATTAGATATGTAGGGATGTACATATGTATGTATGTATGTATGCTTAAATGTATGCAGGTAAGTGTTACAAAATATATAAATTTTTGAATAGTGGTTTAAATCAAAATATTAAAAAATATAAAATCAAACAGAAAGTTTTTAATTTGAAAACAATTTATTTTCATCTTATAGATTTAAAGTAAAAAAATCATTAAACATGTTGTAAATATTACAAATGCTAAAATATTACAAAATTCTAATTTATTACTTATACTAAATATAATCATTTTTTTATTGTATTAAATAAAATAATAGATAAGGCAAATGATTATCATCGTCTGCCGTTAAGACTTTGTAAGTAAAATTCACAATTTGTGCAATAAACAGCCGGAGCAATGATATGTCTCTTACGACATAAGTTGCATTCATTGGCTTTCGCTGAAGCCTTTACAATTGCATTATTATAAACCCGCGTTGGGATAGCTGTAACATTAACTGCATTATTTGCCATATTTGACATATTGATATTGTTAGTATTGTGTATTTGATTTTGAGAATTCATTTGTATTCCATTGAAACCTGAAACATCATTTTCCATCTCGCCTTTTGTTCCAGGTTCAAAGCTAACTTTCTTTTGTATTGGTTTCATCGCTTGAGTATATTGCACTATATGAGTTTGTCTTGGAAAATAAGATGAATTATTTATGATACCATGTGTGCCATGTGGTACAGGGATTCTTTGATATATTGAATTCGGTCCAATTGAATTTTGAGGATCTACAATTGGTTGCCTCGAAGAATTCATGTTAAAATTCATGTGTTGTGCTGCTACAGCTCGAGATGTTACTATATTTTGATTATTTACAAATTGTTTTTGAGTTTGCATTGAACGTATTTTTTCATTCTGAGTTTGATTCATAATTTGCCCTTGATTTATAATAGCATTTATGTTGTTCTCAATATGCTGGTACGGATGTTTTTGTGGTATCGTAAAAGGCATGCTTGATTTTTGATTTTTTTGAATACAATTTAAATTAACGCGTGTATTTGTGTTTTGTGGAGTATATTTTTGCAAAGGTATTGCCTGGTTAGTTTTTTGTTTGAATGCTTCTGGAGGATAGGCATAACTTTGAATTGAGCCCATCAATGGACTCATTCCAGTTTGAGGATTTTGACCATTTCCATTATGCCCAATAGAAGCATTAAACATTTCGTTTGAATTTGTCATTAAGTTGTTTTGCGAATTATTGAACTGATGTTCTACTATATCTTCAGATAAGTTCAAATTTGCTTTTGGGACGTTTATTAATTCTTTTGTCATAAAATCTTCATTTGAAATAGTTTGTTGGTCCCTCATGTTATGTGTTAACACATCGATATTGCCGCAATGTTCATTTTGAACTTTCATTTTAGCTAGACGTCTCTGAATATCTTGTTGCACATTTTTGCGCAGATCATTTTGAAGTGCTAAATTTTGCTTTATACTGCACGCGTATGCATTTTGATTATTTGATGGTAGAATAGGATTTGTAATGGAAGCCATTGGGTTTAAAAAGTTCTGTGTAGATTTCAGTTGGTGATTTGGATGCAAGTGTTCATTACGAGATATATTAGCAGGAACTGCCCCTGAATACCTGAAATGCTGTTCATTAACAAACTGTAATACATTTTGTTGTTGGGGTAATTGATGATTTTGTTTCACCACATCGTCAGACAAAAATGCTGAAAGATTCGTGTTGTCGTTCGAACTGTTCTGTGCTGTGCGCAACACTCTTTCAAGAATTGGGTTAGGAATGAAATCTTCTTCTTCTTTATCATCAGCTGTGGCAACTAAAGTGACTTGATCACAGAATGAAACATTTTTCTTTTTTGTTTTTTGTGAGCTTATTTCTTGTTGATTGGGACAATGAACTGTGTCAGGTATATTGTTAGCCAATAGATTCAGTTTTCCACTTGAACCATTTAAGGTTTGTTGGAGAACTTGATTTAATAATTCAACTTCTCGCAGTTCTTCTGCTATTTGGCCTGCTGCAACTACATACTTAGGTTTTAACATTGAATTTTGGACATTGTGTTGAAATCCGTTAACCATGGATTCCGTACTTTTAAAGTTCAAACCGCAACCATCTACTTCGTCAACATCGTTTGTTCGATTTTGTTCAATTTCTTGCTGATGGCGCTTAACATTAGTTTTCTTTTCAAAATTCGGTATTTGGCCGGATGGTTTCAAATTAATTTTGTCTACTTTCTTTATAGAATTCTTCCCAGAAACATCATACGCAATATCTAATGATGTCTTATTTTTCATGTCGGGCTCTTTCTCTTGCATATCTCTTAGCCATTGGACATTAGACGTAACGTATTTATCGCTTCGATTAATTTGATCTGGGATATCATTTTGCTGTTGTTGTCTTATAATTTGCCGTTGCTGTAGTTGCGCTAAAATACTTGTGGTACCTCCAACAATTTTTTCAGCATCATTATAGCACTTTTGCTTACTGATTTCAAGTTGTTGAATTTTTGTTATTTGCTCATTCAATGACTCAAGGTTCAGATCTGGCGGTGGTGGAGGGAAATCTTCGCTAGCTTGACGGGAATGGCAAATTGAAGTGGGTGGGCTAGGATAAGGTGGTAGCTCAAAATTAGGATCATTGTTACCATCTGGTTCATCGAAAATATTTTTCTCTAATCGCTCTGAATTATTTTCTTTGTTATAGGAACTACCTAATCCAACACAGTATGAATCCTCATATTTAGATGGGCTCTGCTCTTGATGAACTTGTGCACAGGTTGTTATTGTCGTCTGACAAGAATCTTCACTTATACTAGTATTAGAGCTCATTGTAGAAATATTTGACATATTGGCTTCATGAAAAGGGTGGTACAAACATGGTTCTTCTTGTTGTTGAGTTAAAGAAGAATTAGTTCTTGTAGGTGGAGGAGGAGGTACCTTTGGCACCACTGTTAAATGCCTGCTACTTCCATGAAAACTTTTTCGCATAAGTCTTGATCTTTCTAAATTTGGATTAGTGTTAGTATCCTTATGATCAAAATGCCCTTCAGAAAGATAGCCACTCATATTTTTTGATTTAGCAAAAATGCCCACTGAGCTATCGTCAACAGATTGAAGGGTTAATACTGAGTTTTCCTTTTGTAAGGCTGAATCATTTTCAACATTCGTGTTTTCCGTTAAATCGGGCATTGATCTATTTTTTCTTCGAATTAAGCCACCCATTAGAAGTTTTCGTCTTATTTTATGTTGCTTTTTATTTGATTTATCTTTTTCTTTTTTTTCTTCTTTTTCTTCTTTATGCTTCTTTAAGGTGTCTTTAGCATTTATGAGCCCTTGCTCTACAAGGGAAAATTCTTTTGAAGATTTATTACGATCTTCACTTCTGCTTCGCTTTTCTTTGTCTTTACTTCTACCAAAAATACTTCGACTTTCTCGTTCGGGTTTTGATTGTGGTTGTATTTCGTTAAATTCTTTAATTTGATCACTTTCGAAGGGAGGTTTGAAAGAGGCTTTCTTTTTAGGTAATGTCGCATAAATTTCTATGCTTTTTACGGCACTTTTATTTACTTCAGTTTTATCTTTACTTGATTGGCGGACGTGTTTGACACTACTATTGCTGTTTTCCCGAGAATGTTTTCCTTCTTGGTGGAAATCAATTTCAGTTCCCTTTTCAAATAATATACGTCGGTGTAAGCTTCTAGCTCGCATTATACATGTGTTGTGTTTCATTCTAGCAAAAGTCATAGTATGTGGATTACTGTATGGAGCATCCATTGCAGCACGAGCACGACCAGCAGCCGCGTTACAAAGGACTAATGCCGTTTCCAGATCACGCGCCTCTTCCATTAATCTTGATTTTTCAAGCAATTGATCCGCCTCATTACATAGTCTCTCACAATCTCCAGTTAGTACAACAAATTCTGGAATTTTAGCTAACATTTGCTGATTGTATGCTTGTTTAGATGGATATGAATCTGTAGAAGATACCGAAAATGAATCATATCCTGCATCATAAGCCATTGTTGTCCCATTACGAACGGGACTTTGGGGAGAATTAGAACTCATCGTCGACATTGGGTTTCGTTTTCCCATTATGTATAGATAAGGATTGTCCAAAGTTGTTGATGAAGCAGAGCTAGCACTATTTCTATCACCACTCCAGTTCCCGGAATCTCTTCGTCTCGGTTGATTCAAATGCTCCGGAACAGTAAATCCATCTTTTAATATATTTTTTCCATTGCGGTTTTGAGTATTTCCATTATTGATCCATTCATTATTTTTATTGTTATGTAAATTTTGGTGATTTTTCTGTTCGGTTGTAATCAAATCTGCTGAAAATTTATCTGATGAAAATTTTGAAGAATTGATTGAACCGTAGACATGAGCAGAATTAATTTTATCAAACAAAGAATTTTGATATTGAGCATTTAATACATTTTCCACAGTTCGGCGGCTAATATAGGAATCTGTTTCTTCTGTAGGTTGAATAATATCTTGCTTAGCAAATATTTTTTGTTGAATTATGTTGAGGTTTTGATATTCAGAAGCTGATCTTAAAGGAGTCGGTGTTATGGCACGTCTCGTTGATCCACTATGTGGTTTTTCTGGACTTGGTGTAACTGCACGTCTCGATTGCTGCTGCAGAACATCTTGAATTTGCATATGTTGCGGTTGTTTAGCATTTATATGAAAATTAGAATGTGATGTTGTGTAAATTAATAATAAGGGTTGATATCGACCTTTAGTGCATTTTAATATGACATGTTCCCATTTAGGTCCGATCTAACAGAGGGAGAGAAAAAAAAATATTTTAATTATTTTAATAGTTTGATTTCAGTTAAACAATTCTTACCTCTTTTACATTTTCATCATCAAAATAAACCCAGATCTTCAATTTAGTGTGAAAAAAGAAAGTCGAATAATGTTTCGAGTAATAAGTTACCATCCCAACTAATTCATATTTGATATTTTCAACCCAATTTTGTGCCAGAACGCGATGGAAAAGATCAGATAACTGTATTGAAGTTCCAACAGTATTTAAAATATTATTAACATGTTCCATGGGAGGAAATTCAGAATCCCATACTATTCCTAAAGAAACGACATCTGGGTTATTTAAAAGAGTTCTACATATTGTTATTTTTGCTCCACACAAATTCTGAAATATAAACATAAAAAAAAATTATATAATTACATATGGTTCAAAAAAATGTATAAATGTAATATGTATTTTTACATACCGGACAATCTCTAATGTCTCCCATATTACCAGCCGAACGTATAAGCTGTCCAAAAGTTTGATGCTGTTCATTGTGTGCTGCGATATTATTTTGTGATATTATGGCTGAAGCAGAAACATAATGTACCATCTGAAACACAAAAAATATTAAATAAAAAATTTGTTTACGCCAACATGCAACATCAAATTGGAATGCAATATTATAATTAATTAAGGAACAAAATTTAAAATTTTTCTAGTTACACTTCTATAAATTATAAATAAAATTTAATAATTTAAATATTAGAATAAAAAACATACTTGTGTAAAAGGCAATTGTTCCGAATTAGCTCCGCATTTGCAAACGCTTTGTTCGATTACTCGCATAGCAAATCGACGATGTGGCACACAAGATAATGTTTCGCAAGAATCAACATCTTCCGATGATAAATGAAGATGAATACGATGAAGAAGTAATTCAAAATATTCTGCAGCTTCACCTAAACATCCTTGTGAAGAACGACGTCCGGTCATCGGACCATTTCGTAAAGCACGTTTTAATTGTTCCGGGCATAAAGATGGTTCAGCACTATTTTGAAGTTGTTGAAATAGTTCCTATTAAAATATAAATTTGTTTTAAAAATTAGTTTATAATTTAGCAATAGTACTCGTAATATTTTTTTAAAAATAACTTTATTTTAATCTAATTTTACTAGCATTTATTTATTAAAATGTCTTTGCAATGTAGAACTTTTGTTGATCATACCAATATTAAATCGAAGCAAATCAGTCTTGCTTACTGTCAGCTTTAACTAAATTGTAAAATTTTAGGTGTGCATGGAGGTAGGGTATCCAAATGCGAAATATGTAATAGTGTAACACATTTCGTCTGAAGTAATTGTTTACTGCGTCACAATATTTTATCTTAATCTATGGTACGAAAATTTCCAATTGAGGTATTTAAAAATTGTTATTAAAATGTTATGTTAGAAAATTTAATTTCTTACATTTTTCATTTGTTTATTAAGTTTAAAAGAATATAACATACGAGTTATAAGAGTTAAGAAAAGTTCAGTATTAATTAATGAACTAAGAATTAATTCTTAAAATTAAATCTTGGCCAAACATATTATTATATGTATTGGTTATATACATATGTATAAACATATATTGGGCTTTTGAATTATACCTTATATGTATATTGAAAGATTTATAAATATAGGGTAGAGAGACTGTTATATGTATTATACAATCTAATACAATTCCAGTACTATAACACGTACTGTGCATTATATTAAAGTTTTTTCTATTAATGAGCATATCTACTAAACATATAGTTTCAAATTACAAAAGAGGGAGAGAGAAAGATATTACAGACCCTCGCTCGCCCCTGCGAAATGCCTTGCGAAATGTAGTAATCAATATTTTACTTAAATATAGATTATTAACTTATTTTTTTTTTTTATTAAAATTGATTTATATAATGCAAACATACAATCATACAATCAAAATAATCAACTCTTAAGTGTTAAAATTTAAAATTTTTTTTGTTTTTGTCCAATTCATAATTTTCATCTAGAAAATTATTTTAAATCATTTAATTTTTTCTTATTATAACCTTCATTCAGTTATTGTTATAAAATCAATACAAGAAAGTTATTCCGCATATATATATATATATATATATATATATATATATACATGTGTACACTTACATACTTGTATGTATATAAAATTAAATATAAAAAATTTAAAAATATAGATTTTTATCCCACTTCAAGTCATTAACTACATTGAGTTTGTGAAAGAAAAAAAAATCCTCTATATAATCACAAATATGAAGTATGACTAAACATTTTAAGAAGAAAAAAAAGAAACAACAACTTAAGTGATACATATGTACAAATATAGATATTTTATTATGTATTTATGTAAATATGTGATTTTTTTTTTATAACCATAATCATTTACGATTTTAATATACAAGTAGTTCAAGCCTAATATTTTATTGAATATTCATTTCACGTTCTCATTTTTAAAAATAAAATTCTTCTTGTTGTTGTTATTTTTACTTGTTTTAACATTAAATTCTATAATACGAGTACAACTATGCTCTCTATTTTAACATGTTGGAATATAAAAAAATTTTTTTTTAAAAATCTGTTATTTTTTATATTATTCAAACATAATTTAAATAAGATTTTAACTCTCTCTCCTTCTCCCCCCTTCACTCTCAATTGCTTTTTATAAAACTGAATAAAAATTATATTTTTTTGAATTGATTATTTTAAAAATTTTTATATTGCAATCACTGATTTTTTTTTCATTCATATTATTATATGTTGTTTAAATGCTGAAAAATTAAAGTGTATTAAGTCAAAAAATTTAATTTTCCAATTTAAGTATGACAACTTGTGAAAAATTTTATTAGAATCATAGGCAAAAAATTATATATTCATGTTTAGTATAAAGTTAATAAATTTTCAGAATTGAATTTAATAAGTTTTATACAACTAAGATATTTTATAATTAATTAATTAACAATTAGTCAAATTTTTTACATTTAAGGCCAAAATGGAAAATGCAAAAATTTTTATTCAATAAGACTTCCTTGCTTAACTAACAATGACACAAATTTTGTATATTTCTGGTATTAAAAATTAGTGCATTTCTACAGAATTGCAAAGAATTAACAGATGAACGTTTTGTCATCTGCTCTAATTTTTAGTTTTCTTATGAAGTTTCTTAACTGGTTTTTTTCCCCATTCTTATTCGGTTTTCAAATGTGAATAACACCCTTGAATTCCTGAATGAAAAGTATATTATCCATTCTGATCTGTGATTTTTGTTATCAATGTTTTTTTATAATTTAAATAAAAAAATAATATAAAAACTAGCAAATTCGAGTTATTACAGTCTTGCAGTAAGCGAAGCAAGCAATATTTTGCGTATGTTTCTCGTTATTCTGGTCAATTTATCTCAATTTTTTTTCCAATAGCAATGAGCAAATCCCAAATTTGTTTAATTGTTTTTTAAATTTATTTTATATTATAAGAAAATTTTAATTTATCAAATTAAAAATAATTATTTTTGAAGAAATTACTTTTCATCTTTAATTGCAATCAATTTTCCAAAAAAAAAAAAACAATTAAAAATCAATTAAAATATGTATATATTTATATATGTATGCATATATACATAGATTATATATAATCACTTAACGAAGTCATTGTATTATAATGGTAAAATTATACAAGAAAAAAAAATACAAATTCAAGAGTATTTTAACATACAAGAGTACAAGTAACAAGATCAGCTTATATCGGTACATATATATGTGTGTAGGAAGGTATATATAAAAAGTTTAGATACTCTAAATGGTATACGTATATTATACTACAAAATATTAAAGCTTATAGAACAAAAAAAACTTACTATAACAACATTTATGCAATTATTCTCTCCATTCTTAATTAGTATTGGATCAACTAAATCATTTTTAATTAAAATAGGATCTTTTCTTGGATTAGATTTAGAATTTTGTTGATTTATGCTAGTTTCTTTATTATTTGATCTTAATAAAGTTCTTTGTTTTTCATCAATATTTTTATCTTCTTCATGTTTTTCAATTGATAAAACTGGAAAAATTGATTTTTTCGATTCCTTTTTCTTATATCGAAATTTAATCATAATGAGAAATTTTTTTTTTTAATTAAATAAATTTTAACAAATCACAATTAATTTTATTGTTAATTTTAAAAATTTAATTCACAATTTCATGCATTTTATTTATAAAAATAAAATAATTTTTAATTTTATATTTTTTATATTCCATTTAGAGAGAACAGAAAAAAAAAAAATGAAAATGTCCAGAATAAATTGTACGGTTGTTCAAATTTGAATAGAAAATCCTTTATATGTAATAAAAACACTACACAAGTTTTCGTCTTAAATCTTTTGATTTCTTTACTATTAAAATCATTATTATTTGTTTAAGGAAATGTTGCTGTTATTGTTGATTTTTTACTTTTTTTTTAAGCTTAAACTATTATACTTTTTATATTTAATGCATATAAATATTAAACAAGTATATATGAGTTTGTGTGTGTGTGTTTAAAGTAGCACACTTAAATAATTTTTTATTCACACTTTAAGACGTTCAACAATTCTTCTCTCTCTACATAAAATTAGTCACGATAAATTTATTTTCATTTTAATTTATTTTCCATTTAAATGCACTTTTTAAAAATCTAAGAATTATTTTTAAAATAAAATTTTTAAATTCGATTATAACAATATTTAAAAATTAATTCACAATTTATATTTAATTACAATTATTCGATAAAAATTTTCTTTTTCTTTAAAAAAATGGCGGATATTATATGTTAGTAGATAAATTATATAAAAACTGTTATCTACAAGACATACAATAAAAAAAGAAAAAAAAAAAAAAAATATTATTATACTTGTAAAATGTTACTATAATTGCGCGGGGCATCCATACTTTAATGTATGTTCGAAAAGACTAAAGTTCTCATACAGTTGTGCAAAGGAGTTAAGCATAATATACAAGAAATACACAAGAAATAAATAAAAGAATATACTCATATGCATACATAATGTAAATATATATACATATATAAATAAAGGTGAGTAATACAGGTTTTTTTTCAAGACACTATACACTATATATACACCTTCATTACTATACAGGTAGATTAAGAACCGGTTTTTTTTTTTCTTTCAATTTTCTTTAATAGTGTAAACGTTGTAGAAAAATAAACTCTTGTGTAAACTTCTTTATTTATTTTAAGATTTTTTTGATTGTGTGAGTTTAGTTTTTTTTTTTTTTGGGCATAAATAAGATGGTTTTTTTTGTAACTGTACATTTTTAAGAGATTTCAGTTTTACTTTATAATAATTTTTAACATTATTTTTCGATGCATTTAACGAAACTTTTTTTTAACTGATCATTGTACACACAATATATGGGTGGATTTTTACCTATACATATTTATTTCGTTGTTGGTGTTGTTGTCTTATTTATATCTTAAGAAAACTTAAGAGGATTTAAATGGAGTCATTGAAGCTTATATTAAAATTAGAATAAATTTAGATAAAATTAAATTAAAAAATTTATTTCTTGTAGTGCTTATTTAATCGAATTGTAAAAAAAATTAACATCAATTAAATTAAAATTAGTTTTATGCTCACAAATTCAACTCTTGAGTATTTCTTGGTTTTCTTATCTTAAATTAAAAATTATTTGCAGAAACTCTACAAATTTTTATTTTATAAAATAAACTTTTTCCCCTATGGTCTTTTAAAAGTGGCCATAATTAAAATTTAATCCATTCTCATCGCATACACTTACACTCACATATAAATTGTACTCGAAGAGTTTAAGATTTTCTGTTTCTTATAAAAAAAAAAACAATATTGTGTGTACTCAGACTGCTCTTTTCTTATTGACTCAAGGTACAAAAAAAAATAAAAAAAAACAGAAAGAAAAAGGTTTCTTCGAAAGCATTGTATCTCTCTTATATGCTTTTTCGTTTTACAAAATTTTGTTATTTAACTGCTAATATTTTTACTTTTTGTTAAATCACATAAATTTCTTGGAAAACAAAAATATAACTACCATTTCGATTTGTAATAGAAACAAAAAAAAAAACCTATTTTCAGTATTTTTTGGGTTTTTCTGTTTTTCGTTTCAAAAACCACTGAACAATCAATTTTATTCTCATAAAAAGTCACGTTTTTTTGTAAAATAAAGGAATATTGTTAATCAGGTAAAAAATTAAGGAATATCCCATATATAATTTTTTTTTTTATATATTTTGTAAATAAAAGTGACAATCACTTGTTTTCAAAATGATTTTTTTTTTTTGAAAAATATTCAATTTTTCACATGGGAATCGTATTCTAACAATAAAGGTTCATAAATCTTAATGTACCTTGTATCCTTAATCCAATTTGTGACAGGTATAAGTATTCCAAAAAAAATAAAATTTATTAAATATGAAATGTTCTTTTACGCATATAAAATTTTAATAGAGAAGAGGGTTCTTCAAGAGGCGTAGAAAGAATTGTAAAAGATTTTTCAAATATATGCTATATTCAGCAGACGCAAAACAAAAAATCGTTTCGAAAACAACTTAAGTTAACGACTACGCGGTTTCCCCTTCTTCTTCATTTTGAAAAAAAAATTGGGACTGCTTTGTATGAATATATTATGACGACTCCGTCGCACCACTAACCATAGGAAATGGTGACTTTATTGGATTCACAATGAGCTTAACATGTACAATTCTTTTAGTGATTATCTAGAAGGGATGAGATTTTCAATTAGTTTAAATGCAGTATATAAATTAGAGATGATCGAACGGTTTTTTTTTAAAATTTGGAATTCAGACAATTTTATTTAAAAAAACTCATTAGATGTAAAATATAAAAAAAATATAGGAATATGAATTTCAAGATTCGAATTCAGTATAGTCAGATGTAATTCTATAGAATCCAAATTTGAAGACTTTTATCAAAGAATACACTGTTCTTTGATTCACCCATTATAAGTAATTATCAATTTATTTTATTTCTATTTTCTTCCTCCAACCTCTCCCCCAACGCTTCTTAATATCGTAATAATTGCATATTATCGATATCAAATCGTTATAATTATAAAAAATAACGTGATTTCTAAATTACAGAGTAAAATTGTTTTATTGTTGAGCCCTATCAAATTCTCAAACGATCAGATGTGTTACGTCTGAGTAACCCTTTACATAAGCCATAATACGTAGATATATAAATAGCACCCTATATCATATTCAATTTGATCTTTGTACCTACCTATATCCTTTCAAAATCGTTAGTGTCTCTATTTTTCTCATACTTGGTTTTTTTTTTATTTTCTGTATAGCTAAGATCATTAAGGATGTATAATATTGAAATATAGATAATATAAATAAATAAAAAACATTAAATTTCCAATAAGTTTGAGAAATTAAAATACATTGATTTGTAACTGTTGGCGGGAAAATCACTGTTGCAACTTATTCTCATAAACTTAGAATGTATACCGTCAGTAATGAGAATAAAATGTCTTAAATTAAAATTTAATTATAAGTTAGGCAGCTATGGTAATAACAATTTTAATTTAACAATATTTATAAAAATCAAAATATTTCAAATTAAATATTTGTTCTATTTTGAATATTATTATATATTGAAGTAAAATCTATTAATGTTAGAAAATATTTGTTATATTTGTAACTTAAAATTCCTATAATAATTCTACTTACTTTTAAGGCGCAAACAATGCAATCTGAACCATAACATGTGTGATTATTTAGTTGTCTAAATGATCTCCGAAAGGCATCTAAATGCCATAGCACCTAATTCAAAATAAAAATTTATTATAAAAATTTTTAAATAAATTATAAATAATTAAATGTTATTAAAAATTTTAATTTAAAATTGTTATTAGAAAACAATTTCTTACTTCTGGTTTTTAAATTTTCTTTTAAAATTAATGTTCAAAAATTAAAAAGTTTATATACCTTGCAAGTTTGAAAAAATGCACCAATATTAACATAAGCGTTATCCATTTTGTCCACTAAATTTTCATTCCTGTGGTTTTAAAACCATTTGAAAAAAAAAAACTCTTATATTATGTATAGTTGTTTGTTTTTATATATATTTATATACACACTATATCTTATGGGCGAACAAAAACTTAAAATTTACTTATAGTTTGCAGTCTTTATAATTTTATCTATATTATATATGTATATATAGATTTAATCACTAATATTATTGGCACCATATTTTATTTTGTTTGTAAAATAAATTTATTAATGAAATTTTCAATTTTACCATAAGTTTTAACACAAAATTTTTAAATTATTTTCAACAATCAAAAATATTTTTCTTGTCTTAAAAATTTTCTTAATCAATTTTATTCTCAATTTTTGTATTTAACCACCATAATAGTATATACATACATATGCACTTGTATGTTGTATATTCAGGGCATAAGTTTCAAATAAGATTTTTAATAACCAAATTTTATACATAATTTTTTTTTTCATTAATATTCATAAATTTCAAATTAAATAATATTTTATTTAATAATTAAATTGTCTTTTATATATAATTTAAATATTTTTAATATTATAAATTTTATATAAAATTTATATTATTATTAGAAAATTAAAATTGAATTGAAACAAAATTTTGTAGTATAATACCGTCCTATTCAACTTAAACTAAAAGTGAGTTCGATGGACGAAAAACAAGTTCGTATATTATACACAAGTTTGGTTATGTATTATTATTATTATAGTTAAATTACCTGTAAAAATGTTTTACCTGTAAGAGAGAGAGCAAGCCAGAAAAGATTGGTGCAACAGTTTAAAGATTTCAAAATGGTGAATATCATCTATTATGATGATGATAATATATATGTAAGTATGTTGGTTCACTCATTTGTAGTATTCAAGTGTTTAATATAGTAAAATATAGATTTGATAGTATTTTATGAACAAATACTTTCATAATACAAAAGATTATAAAGCTTTACACTGTAATATCGAAATCATTTCAATTCAATTTTTTCCATTATCTTGCACAAGTATTAGTGTTTATAAATTTGAATTTGATTTTTAATAATTAAACGTATATATAAATAAAATTT